CCCCCATCTCCCTGTCCCCCCACCCCACACACATCATCCCGTCGGATTTTCTGTGTCTTTAGAGTCTCTCTCATTCACTTGTTCGTTGTCCGTCTCCCACTTCCAAACCGTGAGCTCCGCGGGGCCGAAACCTGCCGGACCCGCGTGCTGCGGAGGCTGGCGGTGGAGCGGGCGTGCTCAGCGGCAAACCCGCGTGTGCGGAGCACATTACCGGACCTCGCCGAGCTCTCGGCGTCGGTGTCAGACCCATAGGAGGTGGTCCCTCACTCCTGGCTGAACAAATGACTGAAGGAAGGAATGAACGGCTTCCTTTGTGCCTACATTTCCTCCTGAGGTTGTGGCGAAGATTAAATAGGAAAATGCATAGAAGGTTCAATGACTGCATCACAGAGGTTCATTGAAGTCCCACAAATACAGATGCAGATCAGCTTGCGATGCCAGGCCCCTGACACGGTCTCTACTCATCCCCTACCTCCCCTTAGACACCACCCAATAGGGTTGTGCAGCTCCTCTGGGATGCTCCCGCCGATGGCAGGCTCACTCTCCAGTTTCCAGCAGAGTATCGAGGTCCGAGAGGCAGTGTTTCTGTGTCCACCCCTCACAGACACCTCTCTGGATGCCCAGAAGCCCTCTGCAGCAGGAGGGATTGAGAGAGGTTGAGACCCTAGCCAAGCTCAAACCCAGGACTTTAGGCTCACCCAGTGGTTGGAGAGAAGAGAAGGCAGGACCTGGGAATGGGGAAGATGCAGAGGGGTTGGAGGTGTGCTTCCCTGGGAGGGGCCTGGCTCACTGGGTTGTGGGCAGGCTCACCAAGCTCAGCCTGGGGCAGGTAGAGTGAGGGGAGGCCTCCTCCCTCCCTCAGCCTCCCCTCTGGCCTTAGTCTCCCTTGGGGGGGGCGGGGGGAGGACAGGCAGGGGAGGGGTAGACCCTTGTCCTTATAGATTAGGCAGGATCCACCCTTTCCACCAGGAACCCCATTTCTGGCCTGGCTTCCTGACCTCCTGCTGTGAGCCTGGACTGTTAGGAGGGGCAATTTACCCAAGTCCGAATTCCCCAGCACACTCCATCTTACCACCGGTCTACTCTTTCTGAACGGGAACATTGATTAGGGCCTTGGAGTCCTCCCGGTTAAGGAGGAGGTATACCACAGCTTGCTGTGGGAGTGGGGCCTAGAGGCCATGAAGACCTAGGTACCAGCCCTAGCTCTGCCCTCCAGGTGCTGTGACCCAGAGGCTGACCTTCCTGTCCTTCCTCCCTTCAGGGCTGGTGTGAAGGCTTCCTGTCACGTCCAAACTTCATGGGGAAAACCCCTGTGGGTTCTCTGGGCAGAACAGGGAGGATCCAGTATGCCCTTCCTATCTTTCCCTCTCTCCACCTCCAATGCCACCCCCAGGGCACTCCCAGATTCCTGGGGCCAACTCCCTGTCCATCAGTCCCTTCCCATGGCCACCCACACTGAGAAGAGTGAGTGCAGATGGCCATGCTGGCCCGCAGCCTTCTCGGAGGCTGGGCTGCCTTGCACCGAACCTGGGTTCGTTCACATCCTGCCCAGTAGGGTTCGAAGACGTGGGCAAGTCACTTACCTACCCTGAGGCTCCTCCAGGGGCTGCTTCTACTGACCTCCAATGTTGGGGGGCAGAGCGCTCAGTGCTCCGTGCCCACATCCCAGCCCTAGACTTCCTGCCCGACTCCCCCTGGGACTGGAGGGTGCCGCCATGGCTGCTCCTCATCCTTCCAGCCTCAGGCTGTGGCCTCCCCAGCCCCACCCTTCCTGGGGTCCCAGCTCCCCTCCACCAGAGTGCTCCATCAGCTCAGGCTGCTTTCAGTGCCTCCTTGAAGCAGAGACCCTGGGAGGGTCCCGTGGGCCGTGACCGCTCCCTTAATCGAAGGTAGAGGCCGGAAAGGCGGCCTTCCTTCCACCATTACCGCTTGCCGAGAAACCCTATTACCATTACCAAGGCTGGAAGAAAGTGTCCGAGGAGGAGGGAGCCCTTTAATAGGGGCAGCCCTGGCCTCAGGAGACATGGGTGGGAGGAGAGGCTCAGGCCCAGGAAAAAGTCTCTGTTTTTTGAAGGAGCTACTGCCCAGTGCTTCCATGAGGTGCACCTGTCCGAGGCCTAGGCCCACCGCTCAGACCCCAAAGCTCAGGCCCTGGCTCCAGGCCCTGCGAGCCCCAGCGCTGGCTGGCAGGCACCCCGCCCCTGAGTGGATCCATGCCCTTTCCTCCTTTCTCCCTGATGCCCCCACACCCTGCTAGCCATCCTTTAGATGCCCAGCTTCCTGTAGCCAGGGGTCATAGGTTACCCACCCATTTTATTTAATTCTGGACCAGGTGACGGAGGCACAGAGAGACTAGGTCCTGTGGGAGCAGAGGCCAGTGTCCACCCTGCATGCCTGGCTATGCCCAGGAGACGTGGCCGCTGGTCTCTGAGGGGCACCGCTCTGCGGCTTTGCTGAGAGATGAGGATGACAAGCCCCGACCCCCTTTCTTTTTCTCCTCAGGGGCAAGGAGTGGAGGGATCACAAGCTGACCTCAGGACACAGGGCTGAAAACCTCCTACAGAGCTGTGTGACCTTGGGCAAGTCCCTTCCCCTCTCTGGGCCTCCAGTGGAGAATAATCACACCTCACAGGGCCTTGGCCAGAGACAGGGAGATCCCGGAGGTTAGGGTTGGTGTCCCACGCGGTTGGGATTTGAGGAGAGCCGGTTCCAGGCAGGACTCCCCTTAGCGGGCTGAGAGCCTGGGGCAAAGAGGCCTGCAGGGCACACTGCTCCTTGACTGACCCCTCCTCCCCCAGAACCAGCTTCGTCTTTTCTGGGTTTCTAGGTGACTTGGCTGGCCCCTCTGGATGAGTTCTACTTTAAACTTGCTGCTGCCACTGCCTCTGTATTGGGGGGGCTCCCACAGGGGCCCCCAGGCAGGAGCCCCCCCAGCCAAGCCCTGCGGGAGGGGCTGCAGCCCCATCCATCCAGCGCCCATGCTCCTTCCTCCTCCCATCCCTGGAACAAAGATTTCAGGGCACCTGCTGTGAGGAGGCTGGCGTTGCTGGGCCTGGCACCTCCCCCCCGCCCCCCTCCACCTGGAGGCTTCAGACCCCTCTGGGCCATGAGCAGCTGTCCGCTTCACAGTGTTTAGCAAGGAGCCCCGGGGACCAGCTCCATGGTGGTCTGCCGCACAAGAAGGGGGTGTCCTAGGCTCTCTCTCAAAGGCCAGGACGCTGGGTCCTGAAAGAGGTCTCCCCGGGCTAGGGACGGAGGTGGGGCGCCTGGCGGCGGGAGGCCCATTAGCTAAGTGCTCCCAGGGAGGGGGCCGAGCTGCTGCAGGAGGGGTTGAGGCGAACCTCCAGCTGCACCCACAGCCCCCGGATCCCCAGCGCTCTCTCCTCACACCGGGCTCGTCCCACTGAGCCCCCCACCCGCAGCGAAGTGCCGGAGGC